GGACCCTGTCTTTCAACAGAGGCCGAATTAAAAAAGAAAGAAAGAAAGAGTAAGTAAGTTATTTCAAGTCCCAGAAACACAAATTGTGTGTTTGAAAGGTTGGCATTCCTGGTTTATATCTATGGTGTATAGACTGAAGCTAAAGTAGAGTATCCATTGGAAGGCTGGGTTTCAAATCTAGATTATGCCTCAGTACAGCAAAGTAACTTGCACTGAATGAATAGATACGAAAGAGCAAGGTTATGTGGATACAGAGACCATTAGATAGAAAACATGACTCAACTGTATGAGTCCCGCTGGTCTGATGATGATGCAGGTGAAGATGACAAAACAGGCCTGATCTTAGAGTGCACTTTAGAATGGGCAGATGTGGGTAAAAATAAGGTCTTAAATGTGTGAACAAAGGGGGAAAGAAAACATGAAAGCAAGTTGTAACATTTAGCAGGTATCTTAGTTTGCCTTCCATTGCTGCTAGAAACACTGCCCCAAAACAACTTGGAGTGGAAAGGGTTTATTTCAGCTTATAGCTCCCAGGTCACAGTTCAACAAAGAGAAGTCAGGGCAGGAATTCAAGGCAGGAACTGAAGTAGAGGCCACAGAGGAATTAATGCCTTGTTCTCCATGGTTTGTTCAGGTTGTTGTTTTATGAAATCCAGGGCCGCCTGTGGTCAGGGTTGGAACTGCCCGAAATGCCACCCCCTGCCCAAATCAATCATTAACCACGAAAATGCCCCATAGACTTGCCTACAGGCCAATCTGATAGAGCCATTTTCTCAGTTGAGGTTCCCTCTTCTCAGATGATCCTAGCTTGTGTCAAGCTGACAAAAAGAAAAAAAAAAAAGAACACAGAGGTAATATATGACAATGATAGACAAATCTAAGATGAAATCTAAGATATTAATATCATATATAAGGCCAAGGTAAGAAAAATAGCATAAAGACAACAAACCAAATTTTAAAAATGCATGAGGACAAATGGTCCAAATAAAACTAGTAGTTGCCAACAGTTTTACGAATTCAAGGCCTGTGAAACACTGCTCTTGGTACATCTCATGTTTATCACCTTATTTCATCACCACAACAGCATTATGAGGTAGGTACCATTTTCTTTATTTTACAGATGGGGAAACTGAGTCACAAGAGTAAGTAACTTGCCCAGTGTCATTAGCCAAGTGGCTGAGTTAGTACCATGAATTGAATGTTTATACCCATGCTGATATCCTACCTATCAACATGTTGGTGGATCTTTTTGGAGATAAATGGTTCACAAGGGTGGAGCCCATATGAATGCTGTACATAGCTTGTTTCTCTGTTATTGTGATAAAATACTGACCCAAAGCAATTTGGTCACAGAAGGGCTTATGTCATCTTACAGCTTCCAATTCACCATCAAGGAAAGCTAAGGTAGGAGCCTGGACATAGAAACGGGAGCAGAGACAACGCAGGAATGCTGCATCCTGGCTTGCTCTGCATGACCTGCTCAGCTTGCTTTCTTACACAACCTAGGACTACCTGTCCAAGGGTGGCACCAACCACAGTGGCTGGGCCCTCCCCTATCAACCATTAATTAAAAATATGCCCCAAGAACATGCCCACAGACCAATCTGATGGAGGCAAGTCCTCAAGTGAGATTCCCTTTTCCAGGTATCTCAGGGTTTGTATTGTTGATAAAAAACTAACCAGTATATATCCTTTTAGATATATTTAATGTATCTTTGCCTGCACACACACACACACACACACACACACACACACACACACAGTACCATATGTGTACCTCATGCCCCTGGAGGCCAGAAGAGAGTGAGGAATGGATGACATCCCAAGTGAATGTGTATTGTTGACACAAACACAGCCATGTCAAGGATACCAAAGCCCATGGGAAAGGCAAGGCTTTCCCCTTGTTCCGAGTATATTCCAAATATGACTGATAAAAGATTGTCCTTTAGCTTAGACCAGAACATGCATAGAGTACCTACGGCAGCTTCCTTATCACCATGACTGCAGCCTCAGACTGCTCCTCTACCAGCCCCCTCTTTTGTGCTATAAATAACACAGTTTCCCAGCTGTTTGTGGTGCATCTCCATCCAAGTGCAAGGCCTAGCCCATTCCAGCATTATATTACTTGTGCCTGTCATTTCTTCATCCCTGTTGCTCCATGCAGGTCAACTCTAAAGCCATGTAAGTTAAGGTAGAAGATGGCAACAGATGCCTGGAAATAGAGTTACAGGCTGTTATAGGCTGCCAGGTGGGTGCTGGCAACAAACCTGGTTCCAAGAGCTCTTAATCACTGACCCATCTTTCCACCCAGTCAGTACCCTTAAAAAAGGGAACCCGAGAGCTCTTGACTGCCTTTTCAAATTGTGAGGCTGCAAAAAGAAAATGGCAACTTGCATTCCAGAAGATGGACAGATCCAGAGCCTGGCCATACTGGTAGTCTGCTCTCAGACTTTCAGATTCCAGAATTGGGAGAAATTTGTTTATAAACCGCTAAATCGAAATGCTTTATTATAAGGACTCAAATCCACTAAGGGTAGGGTTTGAACCCAAAGATGTTATTTTTTTTTTTTAATAGTCTGGAACCACACAGAAATCCAGTTTGTTCAATAAATATTTAATGAGGACTGCTATATTCTAGACATCATGTTGCTAGGGATGGGCAGGAAGAAAAGCAGGCAGTAAAAGACAGGTAACTCTGCCCTGTAGCCTCATTACAAGGAAAATGAAAAAAGAAGTTACAGATACAATGAAATAGAAAACGATGGATTACAACCTGATAAGAGTATTCTGGAGGAAGGGGATGGCAAGTGCAAAGGCCGAGGTGAGAGCCTGCCCTAGAAGGAAAAGGGGGAAAGAGCCTGCAAAACAGACTAGTGAATATGGCTGGAGAATGAAGAGTAAAGGAGAGAGTTGGAGAAAGTGGGAGAGACAAGTCCAGATAATGAAGCTCTAGCCAGTGTACACTGAGCAAAATGAAACCACTGAAGGGCTTTAGGAAGGATAGTGACCTGACTGGATCTGTGCCATTACAATGCATTTGGCAGCAGGGTGACTAGAGTGAGGCAAGAGCAGTTTTAGAGAATGTGGACAGTGGCTACTACAGGACTACAAGTAAGAGAGGAAGGCAGCTTAGCAAACAAAAGAGTGGAGGTAAAGGAATGGTGACTGTCGTGGGAACAGGTCATATACCCGAATTTTCAGGAAGCAGACAATCCAGGCTATCCTATTTTGTATCAGGATGTGCTGGGTTTCTAGCATATGTGAATGGATATCTCAACCCTTTACTGAGCTAAGGATTGTGAGAAGAAGGTTAGGAGGGAATATGAGGACTCATGTTGAGTAGGATTGACAGTCTGATCACTCATCTACATGGACCTGTAGCAGAGGCTGCTGGAAAAATGAAATCTGAGTTCCAGGGCATCGCTTATTGAAGACTGGAGGGTCCGAGAGAGGGCATTTGAAGCCAGCAGAGGAGGGTGAAATCACCTAGGAGAAAGAGACTATGGTGGAACTCGTGGAGGCTCAGGACTCCAGCTCAGGAGTTAGATAAAGGAGAAGCTACTTGTTGAAGAGTAAGGGTAAGAGGAAAACTGGCAAGAGAAGAGGGGAGAGTATTTGAAAAAGGCCCAACAGGGTCAAATGCTGGGCTGGTCTTCTAGAAGGGAGACTGAAGACTAGATACACAGGAAGAATGTTACAATTCAGAGTCACTGCAAATGGAGAGGGATGGTAATAGACAGGTGGAGCTCTGAGAGCAACTCGGAGAGGTTTTTTTTTTTTTTTTTTTTTTTTTACATTATTTGTTTGTTGGCCACACATAATACTGTGTACTGTGGTGCAAGTGCTGAGGTCAAAGGGCAACTTATGGGAGCTGGTTCTACCATGCGGGTTTTGGCAAGTGGTCCCAGATTATCAGGTTTGGTGGCAAGGGACTTTATCTATCTCACCGGTCCCAGAACGATACTTTTAAAGAAAAGAGATGTTAGCATGCTTACAGTTCTGGTTATAAGGAAAAGGAAAATCAAGATACTCCAAGGCAACATTCCTAAGAAAGTAGAAAGGGATAGGACACAGAACGAAGGCAAACTCTGTTACAAAAAGTCAGTAAGGGCCGGAGTCTAGCGGGAACAAAATTATAGGGAGAAGGCTGAGCAACCTCGGAGAGCAGTTGCAGTAGCTTTGAGGCTACGGAAGTCACACTGTCAAGTTGCAGGGGTGAGAAGGGTGGAAGCCGTGCCACACCACCGCTGCAGAAATGGCTGAGAAAAGGCAACACAGGATGTTGCCTGAAAAAAAAAGGGGGGGTGGCAGGCAGGTAGGGTGAGGGTCTACAGCCAGTGTTAACGTCAGCATAGGCCACAGCAAATCACTTCTCCCGCCTCAGAGGGAGTACAACGTACCCCAGGGCTTTGGCTGTACATGCAGCCAAGCTGAATCTCACTTGCCACGTGTCAGGTAGCTTTCATCCTGGCAAAGAACCAGCTCGGGCCCCTGCAGACAGACAGTTCACTGCAGATTCCCCTAGCTGGTGGCCGGCATCGGCCAGCCCTTCCAGCTCGCCTGCACCGCTCCTGACCCTCGCGGTTTATCAAAGTTCCAGGACTGTCTGCTTCCGCCGCAGGATCAGACCGCGCGGGGGTTTCCATCAAGGCCCCGCCACCCCGGGAATCCCCCCATCTGGCCACACACAAAGCCCGCTTCCTCCAAATGTGCTCAGTCGGCGTTTGAAGCCTCAGCTCGCCATATTGAGGTTTGGCCGGCTCCTGCAGGGCCGGTCCTAACCCGCCTACACCTGCCTAGCCCGACCAATGCCTTCGCCGCTCCCGGAAGAGGCCGAAGGCCTTCGGCAGGTTCCGCCGCCAGCTCAGGGGCGGGGCCTCTCGAACGGCTCCGGGCCGAGCTCGGCTGTTTCCGTGAGTGGCCGCTGCGCACTCGGCACTGGGCGGCGCTGGCTGGCTCCCTGGCTGCGGCTCCTCAGTCGGCGGCGGCTGCTGCTGCCTGTGGCCCGGGCGGCTGGGAGAAGCGGAGTGTTGGTGAGTGACGCGGCGGAGGTGTAGTTTGACGCGGTGTGTTACGTGGGGGAGAGAATAAAACTCCAGCGAGATCCGGGCCGCGAACGAAAGCAGTGACGGAGGAGCTTGTACCACCGGTAAGAGGAGCAGGAGGAGGAGGCAGGAGCCGGAGAGAGCCGGGGGGACAGAGGGGGGCCGGGGAGGCGCCGGACACCCGCGCTCGGGGCCTTCCCCTCGCAGGAGGGGCCGCGGTAAAGATGGTGCCTCCGCCCGAGCCCCACAACACGGCCGCCGCTCGCAGCGAACAAAGAATAATGGCGGCGGACTGGAGCCAGCGGCGGCCGGGCGGCAGCGACTCTGCCTGCAGCCAGCGGCGGCGCTCATGGCGGGGGGCGGCCCGGGCGGGGTGCTAGCAGAGCAGGCGGCCGACCGGCCGCGGCAAGCCGGCGCCCGCGTTCCCGCCGCCGGGCCGGGTCGGGCCAGGCGCGGAGCCGGAGCGGAGCGGAGCCGCCCCGGGGGAGGCCGCCCGCCCGCCGCCGCCCCCCGCTCGCCGCCGCCCGCCCGCTCGCTCGCTCACTCGCCTCGGCTGTGCCGGGCTAGCCGCCCGGGCCGCCGCCTGGATGCCCGTGGGGGGTGGAGGAGGAGGAGGAAGAAGAAGGCGACAGTTGAGGGCAGAGGAGGTGAAGGTGCTGCCGCCTTCGCGGCGGTGCCTGCTCGGCGAGCGGACGAGCTGCAGCGTTCGACCTGCTTTTCTCTCCGCTCTTTGTGCAATAAAGTTCGAAACCCAAGGTTTTCTCTGGTGCTGTATTTTCTTCTTGCCCCTCTCCCCTGCTCCCACGCGGTCGGAGAAAGTGCTGTTTTCTGCCCTTGGCTGCTCGAAGGAGGATTTTTTGACTATTTCCCTCACCCTTCGGTTTTGAAGACGAAGAATAAAAAAAAGCAACCCAGTAGTCATGGAAATGCATTCTTTTGGGAAGGAAAGGGTGCTAAGAAAACATTGTAATAACTTTTTTACAGAAAATGTTGGGATCTTGTAAAAGGGAAGCTCGTGTTTGAAAACAGTTTCGGTTTTAACCCTTTCCAATAAGATAATAATCACTTGTCAATCATTCTGAAACCCTTCTTAGAAACGAATATTAGCAGAGGTACCTTTTTTTGTTTTATACCACTGCGGGGGGGGGCAGTCTTGCCAAGGTCTCCCCTTAATATTACTCACCACCATATTTTTCATACACGTCTGTCTAAACTGTTAATAGAAAATTGATATAATTCTTACTCGTTATTTGTATATTGTGCAGTAGGCGATCCCAAGGCTGAGATTGATGACAGTTTAAGCCAGCAGAAGTTGTGGTGTTCCTTTTTTTCCCCCCTTCATCTAGAATATTGGCAAAGGGGACTGTCAAAAAGTCATCGATCCATTAAAGAGTGAAAGACATTTTCTAAGAGCATTGCAGTATGACCTATTTAAACCTGCTGTGTCTTCTCAAAAGTTAAAGTTTGATTCTAGTTTCCATCACATCTGCCTTCTAAAGATTTAGCATAAGAAATTTTGGGCCATCTATTAAAAAATCTTGTGCACCTACTGATCATTTCCCGATCTAAATAGCAAATCCCCAAATAATTATTTTAGTTGCTTTGAAAGATGCACAGTTTGTTTTTAAAACAACCAGTTACTGTACAATTGAATTGTGATTGATGCATACAAGGCTTTCCGGTAGGAATAAATATTGATTGACAATAGAGCCATTGTGTTTTGATTTTACTGTGTGTCAGTAAGGACTCTGAAACTTTGTTGCATTGCTTGTCTTTAGCACTTGGACAATTTGCCATTGTCAAGAAAATTAAGATGCAGTAGAGGGAATGTTGCCATAGGATTGAGAAGACAGTTTTATTTCCACACAATGAAGAAGTGATACAAAGTAATGGTGATGGTAAAATAATGTTTTCAAAAGATTTTCTGCAAGTCAATAGTGATGATACATGAAGACGACTTTTTGATTTTTCGCTTGTGAGAATAAAAAATTTTTTCCTATCGTGTCCTCTCTTCAGCCTTGACCAAAAGATATTTTAAATTTTGTTTACGCAGGCATTTATGGAGAATCAACTTGATTCTCAGCAAGTGCAAGTAAAACTTGGAATACTTTTTGTCTACATTAATTTTCAAACAGTCACCTGGAACCTGGCACTAAATTGTAATTCTCCCTCCCGGGGGCTGGTAAAAATTGCAGCTGTGTCTGCTTCCGTTCTCTTCCTCCTTGTTTCTCTATTTTATTGTTTTTGGATGGACCTGTGCATTTAGAAAGCTAATGAATTTTTGAAAGGATTTACCTACTGGATACTAAATGAACATTTCTTTTGGAATTTGAAACTAGTGTTAACCACTTGGGAACAAGATTTTCAGTCAAGAGTCTGCAGAAACAGAAACCTGATCCATAAATTTCCTTCATCATGTTCAGAAACTCATATATAAGCTCAAAATTAGGAGAAATTTTATTGTTCTTGGAGAAGTAACTGTCTCTCCTAAAGCACTTTTTTTGTTTGTGTGAGTAGTTGTGGAAGACTAAGTAATGTATTTTTTTTAATCCCATATCCCCCCCTTTTTTTTTAAGTAGTAGGGAACATTGTTTACTTGTTATGTCATTGAAATGTAAAATGTTAATAATTCCATAAACAGGTAGAATGGTAGATACAGCCATACGAACTTTCCAGCAATACATTCATGTAGACATCTCTTGCTGTGTTACTTCCAGCACTGGGTTCTGTATTTTGAATAGTTAGCATTCAAATCTGAGCTTAAGAATACAGCAGTTATCAGAAAATAGATAATTACAGTTATATTTAACACTTACTGATGACAGCCAGTATCATGAAACTGTGTCTATATCTACTTTGAAAAACTTACAAGTCTGGCTTTGAATCCTAACATTGCCAGTCCTGTCACACACCTACCAAGGGAAAGTGTCTGCTTTCTCTGCAGACACTTACAAATGGTTTCCTCATTTGTAAAATTAAGAGTATAGCAAATGCTTCTGGTGTTTTTAGATAAATAGGAAGTACTTTCCCTCTTTTCCTAAGGTGGGTCTTCAGCAAATTGTAACTGTCCATCTTAGCTTTAGCTTCCTACCTTTGGAGCCTTCTGCAGATGTCATAATTTCTCCAAACTTACTGTATTTGATATACTGGGCCAGAAAGTTCCACAAATCTAATGAGAAATTTCACTGTCTTTACTCTTAAGAAACTGTTAGGAACAGTTACTTACCATTAGAAAACAATCAAAGGAAAGAGAAGACTCTTGGTGAAATAAGGAGGAGTATGTGTATGGGGGCTTTGTATTTTCAGTTTTGTTTTTTAAATTATTTAGATGGTTATAGTACAAAACATAAATAATAGCCTATATTCTCTTATCCACTGTTGCCCATGTGTCTTCACAAACACAGTCCATATACAAGTAAATATGTGTATCTCCATGTATACAAATAATAGCATGTACTACAGGCTATCTTGAATTCTGTTCTCCCTTGCCTGTCTGTCTCTCTGACATTCATTTCCCAGGCTAATTATAATGTCTTAGAATTGGTTTGTGTAAGTACATAAAGATCTTTTTAAAAGATCTTTAAATTTTATGTGTGTATGTGTATGCTTGATTATATGAATGAGCACTCTGTGTGTGTGCAGGAGCCTGAGATGGTCAGAAGAGAACATCGGATCGATCCCCTGGAACTGGAGTTACAGGCAGTTGTGGATGTTGGAACAGAACCTGGGTCCTCATGAAGAGCAATAAATACTCTTAACTAATTGGTCCCTCTCTCCATCCTGGACCTTTTTAAAAAAAAGCACTTTGTATATGGATATGCTTAAATCTATTCACCTTTTACTGAGCTGATTCTGTTTCTAGATCATGCATGACCTTTTATTTGAATTGTAATACCACCAAGCTTAGTAGTAGTTCATGGCTTTAACCCAAGCACCCAGTTGTCAAAGGCAGCTGGATCTCTGAATCAAGGCCAGCCTGGTCTACAAGTAAGTTCTAGCCAGGACTACATAGTGAGACGTGGTCTCAAACAAATAGAAACTTTATTTAAGCAAGAATCATCTGGGTGAAAAATAATGGAAGCTGGCATTTAAACTGCCTTATTTTAGCTCCACTTTATAAAAGCTTTAGTTAAAAGATGAAGATGTATAGAGAGACAAGAAAAGTATACAATGAATTAACTCAAAATGTGAGTGTAGGCTGACCATTGAAATTCTTACCATCCTGAATATTCAGTTAATTATTTTGACCAAAAAAACTATTGGCAGTTTTCTCTATTGATTAAAAAAAAAAAAAAAAAAAGAGTTTCCATTTAGTCTAGTGTTTTTTGAAGGGAGGTTCTTTTCTTTTTATTTATTTTGGTTGTTTGAGAGAGAGGATCCTATTGCATAGTCTAGTCTAGAATTCATTATGTAGCCCAGGTTGGCCTCAGACTTGAAATCATTCTGCTTAGCTTCTTGTAGCATTTTGGGTACTGGGATTACAGTCCTCTGACTGTTGTTTGTTTGGTTGGTGTTTTTTTTTTTTTTTGGCTTGGGAGGTTGGTTCTTTTTAGTGTAATTTTTCTATTACAGTAAGTTTTCTATTTCTTGCTTAAATAGAAAATTAGTAGCTTGATGCACATCTGTCTCCTGAAAATCACACTATACTGTTTTTTTTTTTTTGAAAGCCCCTAGCCAGTCAGCTGGACTAAGTCAAAAACATTTCAACCCCAGCACAGATCAAGACTGAGTAGCTCTTTGTTTCCTTCTTGGCTCTTCAAAGCATTATGAAATTATAGCACATTTTACATAAACATGTGATAGTTTCTAAACAGCGCATCCCACTTTTTTCTTGGTAGTATTAAGTAAAGCTATCATGATAGAAGACTTAATTGTAGGTGTAAGGGCTTCAGTTGAGAATGAAAATGGTGTGGCCACGCAGGCTACAGTTTTTATAAGACTATTACTGCTAACTGGGAGGTTTTCTTAGTATAGTACAATAGTAACATGCTATTTTTACCTGCTGCATAATTAAGGTGTGCACAAAGCATCTAAACAGATGTGAGAATTCGGTAGATAGTTGAAGTTTATAAAGTCAGATAACTTCTGAGGATTTGTCAGCTAT